GTTCAAATTGTTCTATTGGGGGGGAAAAGGAAAATTGAAGGAACCATTGGGTTTGGGCATGGAATTTTAAAATTTTTTAAACCAATTTTTTTTTAAAATTTTAATTTTGCCATAATTTTTTTTCCCCTTTTTATAATGGCCCCCTTTGGGTTTTTAATTTTTTTAAAAAATCATTCATTTTAAAATTTTTAAATTATTTAATTGGGAACTTGCTTCCCCCAAAACAACCCTTTCATAATTCAATTTTTTAAATTCCAAAAATTTCTCAAATTAAAATTTTCATTTTTTAAAAATTTTCAAAGGGTTCAACCCTTTGCTGATCAATTCCAAAAATTTGGGTAAATTTTGGTTTGCCCCGATTAAATGGAAATTAAACAAAACAAATTTTTATTTAAGTTTTACCCAAAAATTTTTTTATTTTTTATTTATAAAAGAGGGGAAAAAAACAGAAAAAATGTTTTTTTTATAAAATTTAAGGTTTTTTTGGGGATTTCAAAATTAATTTTTTCAAATTAAACAAATTTTGAAAACAAAATGAAATTTATTTAAAAAAGGGGCAAAAACTTTAAAGGGGGAACAAGGGGATAAGTTTTAATATTTGGGGGTGCTTTTTAAATAAAAGGATTGAAAATATTCCTCCATTTAAAACCCTGCCCTTTTAAAAAGGAATTTTGTCCCAAAAATTTAAAAAATCATAAAAAAGTCATTTTTAAAAAATTCTTTCAAATTAAAAAAATTACAAAAGAATTTTTAAAAAAAAAAACAAAACGTATTTTTAAAGGGGGAAACCTAATTATGGGTTTTTCAAAATTTTTTAAAAAATTTTTTAACTTTGAAAACCCCATAAATAAGACCAAACATAGTTAAAAATACAAATGGTTTTCCCAATTAAAGAAAAATTTTAGGGCGGCATTTTAAAAATTTCCAAATTTAAACAATTTTTAAAGATTGGCCTCGCCCTAGGGGGGTTTTTTTAATTGGGTTTAAATAAATTTCGATTTTGTTTGCGTTAAAAACTTTTTAATAAGCTTCATTAAACAAACAATTTTCCCAATTTTAATGAAAAATGGAACAATCACATTTAAAATAATTTTTAAATCTTTATTGCCTTGGGAAAAATTTTTGGGGAAAATTTTTTTTACAAAAGGAAAAACGTAATCAAAGGGAAACCCCCAAAAACCTTAAACAAGGCCAAAACAAAAAAAGGTCATTTTTTGAAAATTTTTTGTAAAATTTATTGGTTAAAACCTCCAACCCAATTTTAAATTTTAAAAAATTTTAAAAAAAAAACCCCTTAAACAAACCCAAAATTTTTAAAGGTTTTTTAAAGAAAAGGTGGTTTTTCACCTTTCTTCCGGGGAAATTTTCCTAAAAGAATTTCAATTTTTTTGTTCGGGTTTTTGGAAAAAACAAATTTTTTTTTTTATTGGCCAAAAATGGGGTTAATGGTTTTTTTTCATTTTGGGTAAATTTGTTAAAGGAATTTTGTTTTTAAATTTCCATTTTTAAACAAGAAAGCAAAGGCTACTTCTTTTGGGGGTTTCAGGTAGATTCAACAAAAAAAGGAAGAGAAATTCCAACAAAGGGTTAATTTTAAAAAAGAAAAAATACCAAAAATTTTTAAAAAAAAATTAAAAATTTCAAAAAAAATTTTTTTAAATTTAAATTGCAGCAACAAATTGACCTTTACAAAAAGTTCCCTTACTTACAATTTTTTTAATTTAGCCCCCTTATTTCATTTTTTCCAATTTTCCCTTTTTTTCCCTTTAAAACGTTTTTTGGATTTTAAAAAACTCACCTTTTATGTTTTAAAAAACATTGGGGAAATTTAAAAAGGTTCTCGTTTTCCAATTGAAATTTCCAATTTAAAAAATGGGCAGTTTTTTTCAAACCTTCCCTTTATAATTAAATATTTTTTTGTGAGGGAAAAAAGGGGGAAAATGTTTTACAAAACGGGTTTAAAAAAATTGGGGTTTTTTAATTTAAACCTTTTTCATTAAAATTTCACCCGGGAATGTAATTAAAAAGGCCAAATAATTAAATTGCTCTTTAAAGGAAATTTTTTTTCCAAGTGATTTAATTTTTCTGATTAACCGGTTTAAACTTTTTCAAATTGTTTTTTCCTTTAATTTTTTTAAACAAAAATTTTTTAAAAATTTTTCATTTTGAAAACAGGGAATTGAATTTGGGAAAAATTGGCAAAAACATAAACCAAAAGAAAAAAATAAACCCCCAAATTTTGAACCAATTTTAAAAAATTTTTGAAAACTTTTAAATTTAATTAACAAAAATTTTTGGAGGGTTACAACAGGGGAAAAGTTATGAAAAGCCTTGTTATTGAAGGGGTTCATTTATATTAAAAATGGGTTACATTAAAAAAACAAAACAGAAAGTATTTTCAGGTTTTAAATTGTTTATAGCAAAAAATTTTAAAAAAATTTTTGGTATCCTTTTTTTTCCAATTAAAGGTTTTTTGATTTCAAAAAAGTTTAAAATTTTAGGGGCATTAACAAACTAATTTTAAACCCCAAAAAGTCTAATTTGGGTTTTAAAAGGGAAGGGAAAAAATCCCAAAACAAACCAAAATTTCCGATATTAATTAAAATTTGAGGGTTTTTAAAACCCGACCCGGGCTCCGGATGGGTAAAAGGGGAAAACCGGGATTGCTTTAAATTTTTTCCAAGTTTGTAATTATCAAAAATTAAAAAAAATTTCTAAAAAATTTGGGGGTTTGGGATTTTTATTTTAAAAAAAAATTGGGGTGACTTTCTTTAAAAAGGAAAAAATTGGTTTCCGGTAAAACCACATTTTGTCCCCCTTTTTCTTTGGCCCCTGACCATTATTGGGAAACCAAGAATTTTTTTTAATGTTATTTGGGTAAGGGAAAACCTTTTAAAAATTTTTTGCAGAAAATTTTTTCCCCTTTTTTTTTTTCAAAAAATTTTTTATTCAAAAAGCATGACCATTGGGTCTTTCCCCCCTTTCACCCTTGGGCCAACCATTTATGAAGGGAAAAAACTTAAGGGGCCCTCCTAAAATTTTTTTTGGGGGGGAAGGATTATTAAAAAAGTTAAGATTAACCCCTTTTTTGAGCTAATTAAAGAATTCTTGGGTTTTTTAACCCCGAGGGCTTTGCTAAAAACACTTTTAAGTTTTAAAAATTGTAATTAAAAATGGATAAAAAATTAAAAAAGGCCTTTTTTTGTTTTTAAAACAAATATCAAAATTAGAAAAATTTTTAAGATATTGTTTTCTGAAATATTTGTGAATTAAAATTTTAATTTAATTTAAAATTATCAAATTTATTTTCTTAAAGAAATTTTTTATTAAGGGCCCCTTTTTTAAAAAAGAATTAAAATTTCCTTTAATTTTACTTCCCTTTTTTAAAAATGGGGTTTTTAAAATTCCCTTTATATCTTTAAAAATAATTTTTTTTTAAACCAATGTTTTTTTTAAATTAAAATTTTTTAATTTTGAGGCATTCAAATTTTTTTATTAAAAGATAAAAAAACCATTAATAAAAAATTGTGTTAACAGGATCTTTTTGTCAACTACTGTTTTCCAGTTTTATTAAAAACCCCTTTTTTTTAAACATTTTTAAAACTATTAAAAATTTTTGTTTAAAAAAAACTTTTAAAAAGAGACATTTCTGCTTACCGGAAAAAGTTTACTAATTTGGGGCCTTTTTAAAAACCCGGAAAAATTTTTTCAAAAAACAAAGAGCGCCCCACCTTTCCTTAGTTTAAAAACCAAAGGGTTTGAAAAACAAAACAACTATCAAATTTTTTAAAAAGCTGTCCGGTGGGGTTGAAAAAATTTTAAACATTTTTTTTTCAATGGGGAAAAAAATCTTTATATAATAAAACAAATTAAATAATTAAATGTTAAACAATTTTTTTTCTTTTTTGGGGGGTTTTAGTTTTTTCAACAAATCTAAAATTTTAAAAATGGGAAAAAAAAAAGTTTTTGTTAAAAAAATTTTTAAAAAAAATAAAAAGTCTTAAATATAAAAAAAAATTTTTTTCAAAAAGGGGAAAATTTTTTAAATTTTTAAAGATAAAAAATAGCTTTTTTTAATTCATAAATTTTAACACCCCTTCAAAAAAAAAAAAAATTATTCAATTTTTAACTAATGTAATAAAATTTCAATCTTGTAATTCAAAAAATGAAAACACCCCCCTTAAATTTTCAACCATGGGATGCATTTTTCATTTTTTCATTTTTCATTTTGGCAATCCTTTTTTTTTTCTTCATTTAAAGCCCAGGTTTACCAAATTTCAAATTTTCTGAAAACTGAAAAAAAGGGGAAAACAAAGAAATATTTTCATTTTCGAAGCCTGGCCCGGAAACAGATATTGAAATCTTTTTTTTTAATTTTAAAAAAGGGGTATTTTTTTTAAAACCAAATTTTTTCCCTTGGGGGGGTAAAAACGGGGTGGAAAATATGGGTTAAATTTCAAAAACCAAAAAGGAAATTTTGGAAAAAAATTTTTAAACCTATAAAATTTTTTAAAAAAAAAAACTTGAATTTTCTGTTTTTTTAAACAATTTTTTCGCCGGGGTAATTTAAAAATTTTAAAAAACTTTTTCCCTTTTAAATTTTTTTTGTAAATTTTTCCCTTTGGGAAATTTGGGTTTTTTTTTTTTGCCCCTTGAAATTTTGTTTGAAAATATAAAAACCTTTGGCTAATTAACCTTTTCATTTTTAAATTTCCCCTTTAAATTTTTTAAAAACAAAAGGAAACTGTTTAAAAATTGGAAAATTCCAAAAAATTCGTTTTTTTTTTTTTTATGCCTTTTAAATTTAAAATAACCTATTTTTTGGTTAAACACTTTTTTTTAACAAAAAAATTAAAAAAAATTTTAAAAAATTTCTTTTTTTTAAAAACTTTTGGAAAAAAAGAATTTTTTATGCAAATTTAAAATTTCAAAGGGGGAAAAAAATGGGTTTTTAAAAAATTTTGTAAATTGGGAATTTTTCAAAATATTAAAAAACATTTTTTAAAACAATGGCTTTTATTGATAAAAGATGGCTTTTTAATGCTGCTTATCTAAAAGTAATACAAAGAGCGGTGAGAGGGCATCATTCAACTTAAAAATAAATGTGAAACTGGAAACATGAATTTTGTTGGTATCTTCCTGGCTTCTAGATTTATTCAAATATGCAGAAATGTTAAACCTCTGTCATGTGAAATCACCAAATGCAATTAAGGTGCATATACAAAGGCCTAGGCAATATAGGTTATTATCCTGAATAGCGAAGGATAATTTTATATAGTTTCGTGTTATTCCTGTACTACAGTAAATGAATAAAATTCTTTGGAATGAAGAGAGCAAAACAGACAAAAGTCTGCACGATTGTCGCTTTTCAAACGCGTTTTCCTTCTTCGTTGCAATGGAAAATATCAATTAATCAAAATTTGATATCGTGGTCGTAAAATGGGGTATGATGTTATCAATAAGATATTAAATCCACTTTTATATTACTAACTTTTCTGTTGTTCTGGTGTCATTTCTCCCTTTAAGGTACAAATGATAATACGTGTTAAGGTCTTTTACAATTCAAAACGCAGGTCCAGAAAATACTAAATATAATTTATATGGCCGTTCGTATGATTGGATTTTTTATGTTTTAATAGTGAAAAAAGAAGTTGCAAGTATGAATAACGATGCGTGGTGTCAGTTCTCGTTATGGAACCATTATGTTAGAATTGTAAAATTGTTTGGGTTTTTTGCAATGATACATTAAAGTATTACTCTTAAAAAGTCAATGTTCTTCATTTAAAATCGTTATTCATCACAATTTCTATTTTAGTTTTTCTTTTTTATTTAAACAATTTGTGTTTGAACGATTCAAGTCTCTTATCATTAGTTACTTGCATTTGAGGATTGTTTTTGAACAGATAAATATGGGTTAGTAACATACCTCACGGCTCCTAGTTTTCTGAATCTGACCTGATTTCGATTTTTCGGAGCGGAATATGAACTGTTTTCAAAGTATTTAGCACTATGCCTAATTCTTCATTATATTTTTTTATTCTTAGATCTTCCTGTAGCATTTCTAGTATTGATCTTTTGCCTAAAGTATTTGCTAACATAAATGGTGTTCTATGGTTTTCATCATGCTGATTTGGATTAAGGTTACATTTCAGCAGTGTCGATAGCATCGACGAACTGCCTTTTGTAACGAAATGATGGAAAAGAGTTGTTCCTTGTTCATGAAAAGGATCTCCATGTTGTAAAATTGCATCAGCTATTTCAACCAATTGCTTTTTGCATGCAAGTTCTAGAGCGGTTTCTTTTCCATTATTATTAATTAGATGAATATTATCTTTGAAACGACATAACCTTAAAGCGATGTCATGAAAAAGGTCCCTTTCTGGTCCTGAACTTGTTGTGACCTTTTTTATAGCCATATACAATGCTGTGTTTTGCTTATAGTCTGGGAGATCATGTACATTTGCGTTCACAGATAACTCAAAAAGCTTTAGCATAATTTGTGATTTACCAGAATATATGGCATACAGAAAAGGAGTTCTTCCATGGATATCAACACTTGTCGGCTGAAATCCTGCATCAGTTAACACATCTAGCAAATCATCTTTTTGTTTTGAAACAACAAAATGATAAAGTGGCAATTCATTTCCCCTGACATCGAATGTCAAATTAGTCTTCAGTGTAAGCTTTTGTAACAGAACCTTTAAGAGATCTGCATGTCCTCCTTTAATAGCATTTTCAATTATGCGTTTGCTTTCGACATCATCAAGTTGTATCATATCATATTCGTCATCAAATATTTTTGTTACAACTTCTACATACCCTGCTCTGCACACTCTATACAATATACTGCTTTTAGAGGACATGTCAGTATCTTTTAAAAGTTGCTCTAAAACGTCTTTGTTACTTGTAACAATTGCCAGTGACAAATGATTAAGTTTCACTTTAGCACCCTGTTCAATAAGGAAGTTAACCAACTTACACGACCCGAGTTTTACTGCTATTAGTAAAGAAGTGCTAAACTCTTCCTCTGCTGTGAGTTCAAGAGACAACATCGTTTTTATACAAACTTCTATTAACGGACATGTGTCTTCTTTCATCCACACCAAATATGCAAGAACTCCCATATCAGTGGAAACATTATTGAGAAATTTGAACTCGGCAAATTCTGAAAGGAAACTTCTAGTTTTAGCATTGAGAAATGTTTTCAAACATCCTAGCCTGTTCAAAGCTTCAAGAAATTTTAAACAGAATTCCTTGTCTTCAAAAACACCAAGTCTAAAAAGTGAAGGATCTTTTAATGTCTCGGAATCGGGTGGGATTATAAAGGACCCTAATTTACAGCTTATCTGTAAATACCTTGCTGGACTAACGTTTAATTTCAGCTGAGCCATATTACAGGAGTGGACAGAATCAAAATGGTCTTCACCTACACGAATAAAATTCTCTATGAAAGAGGAATCACTATGTTCAATTACAGCTGTTGGATTTATTTCATACGTAACAAGTCCAACAGCATCTTGAACAACGCGATGGCTGAAAGTAAAAGATTCATTCTTACCGTCAAGGTTAATGAATCCGCCGCGATGTTGCCGTAAAATGCGTCGTATCTTTCTGATATGTTTTTCAGGTTGGAATTGTAACTTTCTTATAGGCGCAATTATATTTCCTTCTGTTTCATCGATAGGACATTCGAGTTCCAGAGATGTAAGGATTTTGGATTCTTGCGCCCATAATACAAAAAATGCTATCAGTGTGTCATCGTCTGCGAGAAGCTCTGACATGTATGACTTAACACATGTCATTGGATCTTTGTAAAACTTAATACCTTTCTCATACAATGAAACACTGCTAGAGAATAGCCTGGTGCATTCGGGGAATCCAATAGACAGGCCGCCTAGTTCGGGTCCGCCTAATTTCAGTTGTACAATCTCTTTAATAGTTTCTGAGTGTTCTTTCTTTAAACAAGCTTCGCGAATGTGATGGTTTTCTTCAGATGCTTTACAAAAATGTTTTTCTAAAATATCTTGTTTTTCAGACTCTTTCAGCTTTTCGGAAGAAAGGGTGAAAATATTTTCTTCTGAGAAAATGCTTTGGACAAACATTTTCTCCAATGCTTCTGAAAGAATATACTTCCGAGATGTGATAATCACATACAAGCGTTTGTTTTTAACAGCAATTGCAACAGCTGGAATGTATTTAAGCCATTTTCTATACTCTTCCTTACTGAAGGACCCAGCCCCAAACATATCATCAATTAAAATTGCATCTACACCCTCTATGTTTACAGTTTCCCATTCTGCATATGAATGCAGTTGTATATACCTTTGATTTGTTGACACTTTAAGAAGAAGTTTCTTTGCAACTGTTGTTTTTCCTTCTCCTGGTGCCCCATTCAGAACAATTATTCTGTTTTGTAGAAGCTTTTCTTTTGCAGCATTAAATTGTTCTGTTTCTACAAAGTATTCGTCTGCAATAACGTCTGTCACTGTTTCTTTTGATAGCTCTAAAATTCAAAGATGTAAACCATAAACCACTGTATTTGACAACAGAATCCAGAATAATGTAATAAATTGAATTTTTAAAGAATGGCGTAATCTTAAGTCAATGCATCCTGTAAAAAACGATGTATTACTTCAGATGTTAAATGTCATCGACCATATAACAAAACACTTTTATCAATACGTCACAGGTAATTAAATTTAGCACATTTCGAATTAAGTATCAGATATGAACTGATGTTTTAATAAATCTATCTACATTTTGAAAGCTGTCGTTGGCATTCAACACTTATCTATGGAGATCCAATGCCTTTCACGCATAACAATTGGTGACATAATTGTATATATTGTATATATACTTTTATAAAATAAAAATTACATCTATTATATCTATTTTATATGATAATTTCTAGTATATGAATACTAACCAAAGGATCGTTCTGAAAAAGAAAAGAAAAGATTTGAATAAAGCATGTTCATGTTTTCATATTACTTGCTAAAACAAATTATGAAAATTGTGAAATGCGGAAACATTTAATGTTCTCATGCACGGCAAGTCTTACATAACTACAGGCTTGTTTTAATGGAAACTCTTTATGGGCGGCAGTGGTTAATTCTAGCACCCGTCAACGCCTCTTGGCGCCACTTTAAGTGTTCATATGGCTATGACCAAGAAACATCGCTAGACTTTAATGAGTCACTTGTGAAATACTTGGTATGATCTGGTTTAAACAATGTGAGTTCGGAACAAAAGCCATTGGCGATAATGAACAAATTGTCGTTATAGAGCGGTTAAACAGTTACAAGACATGCTTACAAGAACTATTTAAGGACAGATCAAAGAAACAGGTACATTTTCTAAAATTGAAGATCAATACTAAATACTGGCTTCTAACTGCACGTTGTCCAACACAAACGTTGAGTTGATTTTTTCATGAAAATTAGTGGCAAAGTAAATCAACCGTCTTTAGAGCAGATCACAGAATAATTAAGTGTACAACACTACTTAAAATAGAAAAAAATTACATGTTTATCATAATACCGATACATTAACTATAATTATTCATTTGTTGAATCGGAAATATAATTATTTAACAAACAGATTTAAGCAAACAAACTGTGTTGCCAAAATGTCTTTTGAAGCTTTTCAGGAAATTGTCACATTCAAGGTTTCATAGTGTGTCGTAGGAATACATCTCAGTTTAGTTTAAATGATCAATCAACTTTTAATCAATGCTCGGGGTCGTAGAAGATATATAACATTTGCCACTGCTGTCCATAAACAAACTCAATCAAACCGTGTCTGCGTCATTTTCAATTTTGCTAATTCTGACGCCCTGTAATGTTTCTATCTATCAATTAATAATGCAATGATTATTTGATTGATTCCTATATGTGATTAATATCTAAATGTCTTAAATGGAAGTTCACAAAACAGAAGAACCAGGCACAATAGAAATAGTATTTTATAAATCTATTCTGCACCGGAATCAAGAAATGCTATCCTATTATTATATAGTCAGTTTATAGTGAGTGAATGTTTCTAAACTTATTTTGATCCCATTGTTAGACAATTTTTGAAATCATTTTATTAACACGATAATAATGCGTTTTGTCTACATAACCCATTACTTTATAAAGACGTTTTTCACACGTTTTCACCCTCCTCCCTCTTTTGAGGCCTCAAATAGTGAGAAAATGCCCTATTTAGATCCAAAACACTTGTTTTCGTTTAAGAAATGGTGTTAAAAAGAGTGACATTTTCGACGCCATCTTCTATAAAATAGATACATCAAGGAGGTGCCAGTGGGGGATATGCCCCATTCTGCTTGGGGGTTTGAAGAAGGTGAGCAGAAAATTTTTTGTCTTGTTAGAGGCTAAAAATTGGCCTAAGACCGACCGTAAGATAACGTGTAACCAACGCTAAAAAAACCTTTGACTATATATCAATACATTGAGAAGTTGTAGCATTTCGATATCAGTTTTTTTTTACAAATCAACGTAAATAAGTGATTGTTGGCAATTTTGAGATGTCTTCTCGTTGCCTTGGTAACAGAACATTTATGATTAAGTATTATGTCATTAAAAAGGCTATGGTTCAGTCAACATTTGTGCCATGTTCAAATAGTAATGAAGCCTTTTAGTATATTTTCATAGAAATTTGAACATGTTACAGGGGGCTTTTCAATGAAAACAGCCATTGTTCATAAAATGCTAATAAAGAAATAGGTTAAGCAATAAAAATATATTCAAAATTACCTAAAATGCTTTGTTTAAGGTACTGCAACATTTTTGACTCCAATTGTTCATCTATTCGTTTCCAGTTTTCTATAATACATTGATATTCTTTTTCTTGTTCTGGGTCTAAATGTTTACTCTTCAGGTCATCAATTTCTGACTTTAGGTTTTCAAAAGGAACTTTACACCAGCCATCTAACCTTAGCAGCACCTAAAATGTAAACAAAGTAGTTCTCAAGTCGAGAACAACCATATTAATCCATGTATATTAAAAAAATAAATAAGATGTCTTCAAATAAAACCAAATCAATTCAATTTGATGTTGATGTTATAATCGATGTGTTCCTTTTCCATATATATACAAGGGTGATCCAAAATATCTGATACCATTTCAGTGGCTTGTATGTTTCACATACTTCATGCGATTTTAAATATCAAAACACATATTTAAACTAGGGATTTAAAAGTTTTATTTAACATTAAAGTCATTTTGTTTGATAAAAAATAATAATGAATCTCACCAAACAAGATTTACATCAAATGTTCGATGCGACGTCCATTTTGTGCTACTATGACGTCAAGTCTCTTTCTAAAATTTTCAATAGCGTTAACACACATTGCAGGTGTAATTTTTCTTATTTTTCTGCAAATGGCTGACTTTAGCTGCTCAAGGGTGTCGGGCTTTGGATTGTAAACGTTGTCTTTTAAGTGTCCCTATAGAAAGAAATCTAACGGACTTAGATCAGGTGAGTGTGGAAGCCAAATTTTGTCTGATTTCAACGAGATAAATTTTCTGCCAAATGTTTCTTTCAACCATTCCAACACATGTCCCGCAGTGTGTGGTGCTGCTTCATGTTGCTGAAACCATATTGTATTTATGTTGACACATTTCCTTCGTAGGGCTGGAAGAAATTTTGTCTTCAAGAGAGAAAGATATCGCTCACTATTTATTGTTTTTGTTTCACCTTTCGATTCAAAAAAGAATGGTCCGATCACACCAGTCGACCTCAACGCTGTCCATACCGTCACCTTGTCATCATGAAGAGGCTTTTTCTAAAAAGAATATTGGTTTCTCTTTACTTCATACTCGACAGTTCTGCTTGTTTACAGCGGCATTGAGATAAAAATGCGATTCGTCTGAAAACCATATCTTTTCAATTGTGTTCACATTATCAATCATCCTACGAGCAAACTCTAATCTGCTGTTTATGTCTGTTTCTTTCAAATGTTGCATAATGGATAATGAATAGGGAAATAAATTCAAATCAAAACGCAGCGCCGCACACTTCCATAACTAGACTTATTTGTGATGTCTCCAAGAACTTTTCTTACAGATTTTTGTGGTGTCTCCTGAATCACTTGCTGGATCTCTGCAACGTTCTCTAAACTGCGGCTTGATCTTGGTCGTCCACTGTTGTTGTGTCGGCTATCCTCAACTGACCCAGTATGTTGTTCTAAATCTATTAACGAGCCGATGCACTTGAAGGTTTGTGAGTCTGTTATCGTTAAGATATTTTTTCTGCATCATGCGAATAACAGTAATTGGAGACTTTGTCTCAAAATAAAGTTTAACTACTTCTGCTGCCTTCTGTTTTGACGTCGCCATCTTGAAAAACAGCTTTTATTTGATGACGTCATCTATGACGTCGTGACGTCAACGTTTTCCCGAAAATTACGTATAAGAGAAACCTATGACAGTTCTCTTTACAATGGTATAAAGCACTTAATTATTACATCAGGAATGATCTATCTATTCAACTTCAAAACAGTATCAGATATTTTGGATCACCCTGTTTTCCTTTTTCATATATATACAATGTATATTATAGCTAGGAAAGGAATATACGTTTGATTTTCTTTATATCGGACACGTGTTTGTAACCCCCATGTTCCATCTACCCGAAAATCATTTCGAATTGAAACTGAACAAGCAAATTCGTTGAATTTATATCCCCCGCCGAGTACTGGTTATTATTAACACAACAACTGAATACATAAGGCTTTATTTATATATTAATCATGGCATAAACAGTAATATTCTTTGAACTTGATAAATATTCAGGGCAATAGCAGAGCCATAACTGTGTGTTAAATAGTAAAATCTGGAAATGCCAATGAGATGTATGCATACTACATAACTAATCAAGGGCCATAAATTTGAGTTATAAGTATCTGACTGGAACAAGCCGACTATATGCACATCTCCTCTTAGTATCCCATAAAGTTTCATTGAATTACAGCCAGTAGTAGCAGAGAAGTAGCGAGGAAACAAATATTTTTCTATATGGATACTGCATAACTAATCAAGGGCCATAACTCTGAGTTAAAGTGTCTGACCGGAACTAGCCGACAATATGCACATCTCCTCCTGGTATTGAAGGTTCCCATAAAGTTTCGTTGAATTCCAGCCAGTAGTTGCAGAATAGTAGCGCGGAAACGATTTTTACTCCATATGCATACTGCATAACTAATCAAGGGCCATAACTCTGAGTTAAAGTGTCTGACTGGAACAAGCCGACGATATGTGCATTTCCTCTTGGTATTGATGATTCCCATAAAATTTCGTTGAATTCCAGCCAGTAGTTGCAGAGAACTACTCCGGAAACGATTTTTATTCCATATGCATATTGCATAACTAATCAAGGGCCATAACTCTGAGTTAAAGTGTCTGACCGGAACAAGCCGACGATATGCTCATCTCCTCTTGGTATTGAAGGTTCCCATAAAGTTTCGTTGAATTCCAGCCAGTAGTTGCAGAGAAGTAGCGCGGAAACGATTTTTACTCCATATGCATACTGCATAACTAATCAAGGGCCATAACTCTGAGTTAAAGTGTCTGACTGGAACAAGCCGACGATATGCGCATTTCCTCCTGGTATTGATGATTCCCATAAAGTTTCGTTGAATTCCAGCCAGTAGTTGCAGAGAACTACTCCGGAAACGATTTTTACTCTATATGCATACTACATAACTAATTAAGGGCCATAACTCAGAGTTAAAGGGTCGGACCGGAACAAGCCGACGATATGCGCATCTCCTCTTGATATTGATGATTCCCATAAAGTTTCGTTGAATTCTAGCCAGTAGTTGCAGAGAACTACTCCGGACACAAAATTCGGACGGACGGACGGAAGGACGGACGGACAACGCCAAAACTATACCCCCTCCCGATTCCATCGGCGGGGGATAATAACCAAAATGAAGTTGGAATGTTTTTTATTCGTTGAATCCTTATTTGAATGCACAACGAACAAAGACAATGTAAAATAGCCATTGTGATTTCTCCGAACTATACTTGATTTTGATTCAAAACCTCAATTTAATAACAACTGGAATTCTATTAATTAACTGAACGTTTAGCAGACCCCTTTCGAATAGCTTGTTTCAAAAGACCAAACATCCCGAATATTCCCGATACCTTTTGTAGGAATTCAGTGGACATTGCCAGTGGTGCATATAAGCATTGACTTCGTTCGTTAGCTTAACAATCAGTTTGTCGTATATTCCTACGTTGATTTTTTCCCTATCCACGTTTGCACTTTGTTAGCTTTACGGCCAGAACAGTATGTTAAATCAACTTTGTCGGAATGTTAACCGTGGAAATTCAGCACAAGAATGAATAGTCTAACGCTTCTGTCACACCTAGTCACCATTTCTACCAAATTCGTAGATATTCTCTATCACCCCAAAATGCCCTAGCATGTTCGGTAGGCGTGCATTTATTTTTTGGTCTTTTCGTATCGATATCGTAAAACATAGCATCTGTACCGAATAACTTCGCCAGGCTGTGTTTCGGGTTTTAGTTTTACAGTTTTCCGACAAGAACCGGTTGAACCGGGTGATCCTCCCCGAGTAGGTTTTGGACACGAGGCGAAAACACAAATGGCACAAATCAGCCACCATAATTTCAACATTACACAAGAAACATTTATCACGTTTAAATATATACATGTATATATATATATATATATATATATATATATATATATATATATATATATATATATATATATATATATATATATATATATATGTGTGTGTGTGTGTGTGTGTGTGTGTGTATTTATTTGATGAATTATTCTCTGAAGCTCCGCTAAAAGTAGGTATAATTTAGCTTTCACTATGCATTTCATGGTATCAAGCAACAATATGATGCTTCCAACAGATAAGCATGGAGAGTGCCACATTACACAATTTCAAAGTAATAAGCTATCATAAACAAACCCTAAACCAAAATAAAACCAAGCCTGCATGCCTAGTCTAAAAATCTAGATGTGGCAATGATCTCTCCTAACAATTCGGGCGGTTTTTCATTTGCTATCTAAGGGTGAGCATAAAATCGCCGTTTTGTCCATCCGTCCGTCTGTCCCTCCGCTATTCTTGTCGGGGACATAACTTTGAAACAACAAGAAGAATCAACATGAAACTTTGTAGATAGATAAATCTAATAAATAAAGATGTGCAGTGCTCAAGAACCGTAACTCTGCCTTGCCTAAGTTGTGAATTATTGCCCTTTGTTTATGTTTACACTTTGTGAAATTTGTTCGGTAAATAACTCTAAAACTATAAGAGATATCAACATGAAACTTTGTAGGTAAATAGATCTCATTGAGTAGATGTGCAGTGCTAAAAAACCGTAACTCTGCCTTTCCTCATTTTGGAGTTTTTGCCCTTTGTTCACTTTTATACTTGAACATTGTCCGGGGCATTACTCTAAACCTATGAGAGATATCAACATGAAACTTTGTAGGTAGATAGATCTCATTGGATAAAAGTGCAGTGCTAAAGAACCATAACTCTGTCTTGTTTTATTTGGAGTTATTTCCCTTTGTTTTTTATACTTGAACTTTGTTAGGGACATAACTCTTAAACTATAAGAGATATCAACATGAAACTTTGTAGGTAGATAAATCTCATTGGATAGAAGTGCAGTACTAAAACCCTAAACACAGCCTTGCCTTATTTTTGAGTAATTGCCCTTTGTTCATTTTTACACTTTGAACATTACCCCGGGACATAACTCTGAAACTATAAGAGATATCAACACAAAACTTTATAGGTAGTGTTACGATTTGCACCAAGTAAATGAAACAATAATATCACTTACCTGATATAATATCAACTACAGTTGACGGTCTTCTACTCGAAAGAGGGTGTGTGTACACGTCGGAGTCCAAGAGAGAAGAGAGAGTTCAGCTTACAGAAAAGGCA